TTTGAGTGGCAATTCCTGGTTTCCTTAGTCTAGATAAAATCTTCAACCAACTAGTCAGTTTTGTGAAAAATTATACCCTATTCTAGAGCCAAACGCTCTAGTTGATATACCCTATCCTAGAGTAAACTGCTTGAAAACCATACCCTTCACAGCGGCACATACCTATATAGCCCATATATGGCAGTGCCCTGAGCAGTGGAATTCAGATATTATCAAAGATATTTCCCGCCGTAAGCAACATTTGAGACTCCTTTGTAAATTGATGTGAGCTCTATTGTTAAAGTAAAATGAGCCTTCACTTTACCGATTAATGCGTCATAATTTTCACACTTTTCAGCGAGTGAAGCGCACATTTTGAGTTCCTTTTGGGCAAGTTTTCAACATTTCTCGCTGAAACTAGGAGAGAGTGTTGGCCAATGACTAGGCAAAAAGACTCTGTTGGGGATTTTTTATTTTTTGCCTCTTTTTGTAGTTATCTCTGATTTAGTGAAGGGAATGCATGTTGTATGAACTCTCAAAGTTTAACTGAGTGTCAAAAAACAAACCAGTCAAGTAATCAAAATTTCCCAACAAGGTTTTTTTCAGAGGAAGGTGTGAAGAAGACATAGCGAAGTTGATCACATCCTCGCGCTGAAATCCGACCAGAAACAAACTGTATTAGTGAACCTCTGTACTTTGGGAAATTGGGCACTATATTCAGAAAACATTAAAATGTTTGATTTTAACGAGTATGCTGTTGTAATCTTCGATTCTTAAGCTTTCAGAAAATATATACTTTACTGGGGTCAGATGTGGCTTGCAATGGTACATTTTAAATTGTGAAGGTCATTTCACAATTTGGTGCTCTTAACTCAACCTGTCAATGAACAGGCCACATTGGAGTAATTTCTTTAGTCTTTGGCACTAAAGTGGTTTTCAGTTCTTCGTTTTATTGGGAAGACATGAAAACCAGACCTTGTCAAAGCTCAAGTGAAACTTGGAAAAAATTAGAATTAAAATTGAGTTGTGAGTTGCTTCTTGCAAATTGTCTATCAATATTAATATTGGGGCACTGCGCCGCAACATTCTAAAGTTCCCATGAAAAGAACATTTGGTTTGACTGATATAGTTATTTTCTAAGATTTACAGAGGTAGCTAGCACATTCAGTACAATTTGGTTCCACCTACACGCTGCAAAGAAAGGTCTAACACTGAATTCTTATAAGAGAATAACTGTTCTTTAAGAATATTTATGTCTGGTATTAGTGGTTGTTTCAATAAAATTCTCCAAAGGTACAATTTTATTGCACCTTTCCTCACATTAGCCAAGTCATTCAGTTATTATTACAATATCGTTAGCAGAAGTGTTTGATTGTTACAGGATGTTATCGGTTTGGCATTGAGTGGTATTGGCAGTTATGGTGACCTGGACAACAGTCAACAAGTGGTAGCTGTGATTGATGAAGATTTGTGTATCAACTGTGGCAAGTGCTACATGACTTGTAATGACTGTGGGTACCAAGCCATTAGTTTTGATGCTCAAACCCATCTGCCACACGTAACAGAGGATTGTACAGGGTGTACACTGTGTTTTTCAGTTTGCCCAGTCATAGGTTAGTATTCATTCTCCCTGATTGGTGAACCGGATTATTTATATCCTTTATTATTTATTACAAGGCATTTGTTTCGCTTTCTACGAGTTTCCATCTGACATTTGATCACTGTGGGGTTTACTGGGCTAAAATATAGGTCTTACATGATACTTGGCATGCCTTGAGTACCTCTTGTAGGGGAGCCCATTACCCCTGCAAAATTTTGACCGAGATCCCGGCGAGTTTTTCGCCGGTGAGATTAACAAGATCTCGGCAATCTCGCCAGCCAAAAACTCGCCGAGATCTCACCGAGATCTCGCTAAGATCTCGGCGGTCAAACACTCGCCGAGATGTCAAGTAAGATCTCGGCGAGATCCTGAAATCTCGCCGAGATTCTCGCCAAGATTCTCATCGAGATAGTAAAATCTTGGAGCCAAAAGAACTGGCCGAGAAGATATCAAAATGTCAACACGCAGATCAAGATATCATAAATTCGTTGAAAGTCTCTAGCAGACAAAACAAACACTGAAATACGACTCCACTATGTCAAAAACAACCAGTTTTATTGACCGTCACATACAGTTCAGAAAAGCTTAACAGTATCAGACACTTTCACTTTCACTTCACATTTAGCTACGTTTAATGAGAGCAAAATCCTCTCATCCTGAAAGTAGAAACACAGGAGAACTAACCCTTATCCTCAGATCGTCACGTCCTTTACCTCAAGCAAACAAGAATAATTAACCTGATGTACTAAATCTGTCAGCCGCAAAGAATCGAAGGAAATTCGTTTGGCTTGGCTACAACTTCACCTCAATGCGAATGTCCTGCAAAGGTTTATGTTCATCAACTGCTCAAGTTTTGCACTTTGCTTAAAATTGTTCCGTGTACACAGACTTCAGTTGTTAGGTCGCTTTAACATAGTCGTGAAAAAACTTGCACAAGATGTCCACAAATCCTCTTGTGATTACTCACATTCGCGATGAAAGTGTCAGAAATTAGTTTACCGTAATTCTTTTTCTTGAACAAAGCAGCTCTTTCCATGGTAACTAAGTCTTTTGTAGTTTCAAAAACATCTGACCACAGGGAGCACACGATCTTGTTGAGAAGGAAGAGAGTTATAAAGGAATGTAGGGAATATACAATTTACCTTTTTCTACTGTTGTCATTTCTTACGCGACAACCGCTATCTAGAAGTCCTACGTGACACTGTAGCACTAAACTCGTACCCAGGCCTTTTCGCGCTCTGCAAAATTTAGTAGTACTAAACTCGTACCTAGGCCTTTTCGCGCTCTGCAAATTTTTTTGGGTTTACATATAACATTGACAAGGGAGGCAACTCTTTGCCCAAACATTTTGAACACGATCCGAATATTCGCTCGAATCTCTAAATTCCGTTGCTTCCACAAAACCAAACAAACCCAACACGAAGTCGAAAGATTTTTCTTTAAGCTAGCCGAATTTGTTTTCGAATACTTTCACGACAGTCGGAGAATTTTAGCGTCTTCTGCAAAGTTTTTTCTCAAATCGCTTTTTGCAACATGATCATAGCATTGAACCGGTACCAATCGCGTCATCCAGCGAGCGCTCAAGCTCTCCTCCATCTCCCACACGTGTTTTTTGACACAACAAATATTTACAAAATCCTTCCCCAGCTCTCAATTTTTAAACGCGGAATCTCGCTAAAACGCTTCAGGTATTTACCCGCGACATTTCATTTCCGTGCAGAGATCGAGCGACTTCGGACGCGCAAGAAAAAGTGCGAACCGGGGAGGGGTTCATTGCTTGATCTTGCACATGAACGATTCAGAGCTTCTGTTTCTCTCTTAAGGTTTCCTTCTTTTAGCCAATTCCATGTTTCCTCACTTCTTTGTTCTTCACCCTGTCTTGCAAATTGTCTATATAACAGCTTTTCTCTCCGTTCTTGAATATTTTTAGTTCTTCTCCTAGCTTTAAAGCTGGCAGCTGCTTCTCTATTCTCATTCCCTTCCCACCTGACTGCTTTTAACAGCTCTTCCCTGCTTGATTGGAGATAACATTCTAGCGATATCTTTACTTGATTGACACAATCCTGTCTGGATATAAGGTCTCTCCCTCCATCCTTCCTTGACAGATAAAGTCGTGCCACACAGTCCCGTGTATGGACCCACCATCCAAACCCATTCGTGGTTAGCAGTTTTCTTGTTCTGCCATCTAGGTCTCTTAGTTCTTATTTCCTTTACACAAGCATTCCTCCAGCATATCAAACGAGTGAAACTTCCCGGGTGTTTATGGCTTGTATCAAGTTTCCAACAATAATTTTTAATACGTCTTGAGTATTCTTTCCCAGTTTTGTCCTTCATTTCATCATGAAGCAAGTGATCAGCCTCGAGCGCTCCTAGCTACTTGTACCCTTCACTTTCTTCCATTGCTCTCATCACTCTCATCATGGTGTCATCAGGTAGTGTTATTCCATCTGACTGACTTCCCACATTTCAAGACCAAGACAGCACACTTGTCAGTGGCAAATTCCATAAAGATGTCATTGCTAAATATTCTCACTTAGCTGCTCCATGCTAAAAATTGCCCGTCTCGATGATATGCTTTCTTAGAAATTTTTGAACTGGAAGCAAGCGCAGTAGAAGGTGAATCACTGCAGCAAAAAGAAAAGACGAAAATTTAAGAAGTAGGTCTGCAATGTAGACTTATGGAACTTTGCAGACTTTAGGCTTATGCTTAGTTTTATTCCATTCGGTTGGAGTTTGTTTTTAAAAGTCAGTATCTGGGAGTTGAATTGCTATAAGTGAGAAGGCGATTACTGGAAAGGTAAAGGTGTTACTTTGAAACTGGAGACACTGTACTTGTGGTAGAAAACTTGTGGGCCCTTGATCGCGTGCTGGAAGTAAAATCAAACAAGAGAGACAGTTTTGTGAAGAGAGTCGTGCCGAAAACCTAGTCTGCAGCCCTGGAACGTCCCATCGACAAGATCGTTCTTCTAGAGGCTCCTAGACTTCACGAGAGCAATTAACCATTGTTGATCTTGATGTCCTCAATAGACTACGAGCAGTCTCTCTTTTGCTCAGAAATCCGTGGGGAAGAAAGCAAATCAAGTGTGACTGCGAGCATGGCATGCGAGTGCCGAACGGCAAATCTGCGAGCCGCGAGTAGTGCGGGTGGCTCGCTGCTTTGCATATCATGTTTGCACACTCCCGACCCACTGTTTGCTTGTGTTGCGTTCTTCCCCACGGACTTTCAAGCAAAGGAGAGACTGCTTGCAGTCTATGTCCTTATCCAAGAGGTTTGCTTGTAATGTCAGAGCAGTTGTTTCTTTATTGACTTGATTGTGATGAACCATTTTGAATGGATTTAGTGACAACATATCACTCAAGTTTTTCCGTTTGATTCACTGAACTAAGTTTAAATGCTTTCAGTTCGCATTTGGGGCCAGTATGTAGGATTCAATTGTGCATGACATTTCCCCTATGTGCCTTACACTTGATTTAAAATTTAACTCATCGATCATCATGTGATTTGTTGCGCAAGATTTTTGTTCAGTACATATTAGCAATCGTGTCAATTGCATCGAGTTTCAGTTTAGTTCATCAGGTTTTTCCGTCTACCAGTTCACATCAATAGGAGGAAATATCTGTAAGGTTTTTGTCTTTATATTTTTTATTCTCTTTGTCACCTTTTCTTAGAATTATTGTAACCTACTACTTTTTAGTCGAACACCACATGACACAGCCAGATGCGTTCTTGAAATTACTTCATAAATCAAAGTGAGCATGGAATAAATTGGTTTTTAAATCACCTCTCCGCTTTTGGTCTGATGTCTACATTAGTTCGAAGATAACCGCCGCTCAAGTTTACCAAGGCTTAACCGGAAGGAAGTTATGGCCACGAATTCAACTGAAGAATCAACCGTGCGCGATCGGAGACAGGTGCAGCATTGCGGATTATCAGTATATCATGACTAATTATCACTTGTGATATATTTAAGAATTGGTTCATGCTTAGCGTGCGTATATCGAGTTATGGATGCACGCGGAAAGTTTGGAGAGCACGAAAGAAGCGTAAGAGTTGCTCGAGGTGACAGCCGAGAGCAACTCTAGCTTCTCGAGTGCTCTCCAAACTTCCCCAAGTGCATCCATAACTCGATATACGCACAGCTGAAAGCATGAACCAATTCTTTTGTAACATGGCGACAACAACTTGGGCGCTAAACATGTTTTATTTGTGATTCACTAGAAAGTTCTTACAATGCACGGTGAAGAAAAACAAATGTCATTAGGATCCAAACACGCTACAATCAATTGAGCAACGGTTGAGCAAAAACGCTTAACCTGGTTTCTAAAATTGTCAATGAAAAATTCGCTTCTTCGAGTTAATTATAACGAAAATGTAGACAAGCAAAGTCAAAATACTCATGTTTAAGTAAACATCCATGTTAGCTTGGCAAAAGTCAAAGACTCGAAGTAGAGTTTGAATTGTTCAGAATAATCTTCCCATTGCCGAAACTTAGACAAAAGGAACTTGCACGAAACTCGACGGAAATTTTGCAGCTAAATTGAAACTGCACACGTCATCTTATTTTCGCACGGGCGTGCGTACGTAGAGATTTTATTCATGGTGACTCAATAGTAATTAGATAGGACTAGCACGCGCGCTATGGTATAACATGAAAAATGTTCTATGTTTCTTGTAAGTGATGTTGCTAATATCATGATTTATTAAATCCATTTTGAAATCACTGGTTGTCCTTGCAATCTGATTGGCTCTCAGTGGTGCGATTTATTCACGAATCGCACTACATGTATTTTTTGCTTTAAATTGCAACTTTTGCTCAGCCAATGAGAATGGGACAGTAAAACAAAACAACCAATCTGTTTTCAAGGTTTGTTTAAAGTAATCAATAAAATTTCAGGAAAATGAAAGGCAAAAAGCCATTGTGTAGAGAATTTTGCAACTACTACTGCCAAAACTTTGTTGCTATCGTAGTTTTTTCCCAAAACAATTGACGAATTTAATTAGTTACAGTTTCT